TGGCTGCTTTGTTTTTATAATTTAGGTTAGGGTTTGAGCGATGATGTAGTTAGAGCAGCTGAATAGAGTGCTCTATGTAAGGGTCCAGTAAGGGTCCAGTATCTACAATCCGGAGGTCGGTTGGATAGGTAGGGGGCCTTGCTCGTATGATATATATAGAGCGCTCAGTAGTGCTATCTCCAGCTAACCACTACTCTAGCTCTGCTGAGGTTCTAGAGCAGTGGGTTCAGGTGATCTGGCGCTGTCTTTCGGCGGATTAACGAAGAAAGCGGAAAGACAAACTCCAGAGGGCCATAGCAGAGGAGGGAAGGGGGTCTTGAAAATAGACATAGACCTCGTAACGTCCGGTTTAGTACCCGATATTTGGCCTCGAAGCACTAGATCCAGAGGCGCAAATACGCGTATCTAGAGTACCTAGCTGGGTGTAGAGTAATACAGAACCCAACCCGGATGATGACGATGATGTGTGGGAAGGTTAAACGATGGATTGAATCTGAGCCGAATCTCACTTCTCTCACTCTCACGCTCTCTAACTTTGGGATTATTGACCACGAGGGTGTGCTGCCTGCCAATCTATCTGTCAAATCGCCTATCCAGGGCCTATCCAGGGCACACACATACACAGCTAGAAAAACCTACTCCACCTAGAGAGTATGTAATTTCGCGGCGCCCTCGGTTTTGGTCTATGTATGATGCTATTTATGGCCGGGCGGCGGACACACACTAAAGCAAGCGAGAGATCCGACTTGACTGAAGCAGCACTGTGATCTTTTTTCAATTTCCCGAGGGGGGGCGGACTTTATCCGATTTGAACCTTCTGTTAATTCTGTATGGGAGATAGGGTAGAAATGCATCTCACAGCTGCTGCGGGAGCCCCGGACCGTCAACAAAAGTCAGTTGAATTCAATTCAGGCAGGGTCCGCCCCGAGCGAGGGTTGTTGCCGTATGTAGATTAGGTTGTTAGGCTGTTGATGTTGTTTAACCAACGGACCAACCAGACAGGACCCAACTAAAAAAGTAACTGCCTGATTAGAGTAGACAGCTGCTCCCAGGATGTTGTTGCTCCACAAACGCTGTGCTTGCTAGCAGCTAGCTGGAGGGAAAACCCCGGAGTAACGGTGTCCCGGAATTCGGATCGGGTGGAAAGGGAGGGTTTGTATTGTACGGTTGCGGTTTCTCGAATATTCCCTTCTCGTGGGTATTTTCGTCCACCGCGAGACGAGAGAGCTAGAAAGAGAGAGAGGGCTGTGCGGGCAAATCAGGTGAGGTGAGGTCAGTCAGTGTTGGGTGAGGTTGAGAGGCGAATCTCTATTTCTTTGCTTTGCCTGTGTTACCGAGCAGATGGAGATGGCCTATTACTGCACTTTTGAGGTCATCGTGGATCAGTCAGGGAGATAGGCAGTTATCGTAATTGCACTTTTGTCGATACTTGCACTTTTGCCCCCCAGGCACCTCTACGGTACCTACCTATCTACATCACACACACTCTCTCTCATGTAGGTACCTACATTCCTGCCTTCTCTCCCCTCTCGGCGGCCGTTAGGGACGGACGAATGCTCTTGCCCATATGGATGATTCTCGCTGCACCGCACATAAGACATGTCAAAGTTGCACAGAGGGAAGGGGTGGGCTTCTGATCCGCGTTGGGAAATGCGATGCATGGGTAGATTCCCATTGGATGCGGTGCGGCCAATGAGGTGCGCGCAGGCTGTTTTACTACTATTCCTACTTGCCTAGAGTAGAGTACTGCACTCACATACATGATGCTGTATGTAGGGACGTTACTGTAGGACATGGGGGAGCTCTTTCACCACGACTACGACCACCACCAGTGCACCACCTGGACCTCCTCGCATCATGATGTTTGGTCTGGATTGGGGCGGTAGGTAGGGATTGTGTAGATAGAGAGTGAGGGGCGGTTTTGGTTCACGCTTTGGTATTTCAATTCAAGACTTTTTTTTTTTTGTGGGCTCCTTCCCCCTTCCTTCTAGTCTGTGTGGGCAATCATGAGGAAACAAGTGCTAGCTTCCCATTCTCTGCCCTCCCCACACAGTCCTTTTTAATACCCACCCATTCATTCCTGGCCTAGCTAGGTGTCTATTCTGGAGATTCCTTTTTTTTCCTATTCTTATCCCAATCTCTAGTTCACGCTCATTTCGCAGGACGTTGACGCCCAGCAGCTACTACCTACTACTCTACAGTTGTACCGGGTAGGAATTGACGGATTGATTGATTGCTATCGATACTATCAAGATCAGCAATACATCCTCCTTCGTTTCCCACAAACACCCCTGCTAGCCAGCTGCTCTACCTAGCCAGTTCCTGTCTCTATTCTGGCTCTTCTGCCTGTGACCTTTTTTCCCTTTCCTTTTTCTGTGCAGTTCGGCCACCCTCCTTCCCCCAAAACCAAGAGACCAAGACTATCATTTCCCCCCGCCTCACCTTCTGAATCCTGTTCCTATTCCCTATTCTCACCCCCCCAAGACCCCCTTTCGCGACAAGCGTGCGTACGTAGTGTGTTTTTCGGGCCTGGTTATCTGTGTCTAGCACTGCTTGCTCTTGCTTGACCTCTCATACGAGAGACGGACCAGGCGGCTGCATTCGGTTGCATCTTTCCATAAAGTTTACATTCCCGCCCTCTCGTCCTTTTCTTTCCCTTCCTTCCTCTCTTCCTCTCTCCTCCTCTCCTGCTTACCTGTCTCTCAACACCCTCCTCCTCCTCCTCCTCTTCTCCTCCCCCCCTTCAGTCGAGATCCGTTCGTTCGTTTACGCTCGCTGTTTGCCCTCTCTCTATCGTCTGTCGTTCTAATCCCAATCCCACTCTCGTTTTTTTTTATTATATCTATTTATTAAATATATTTCTTTTTTGATTAACTATCACTCGGTGTTTTTGGTTACTTTTTTGACCGTCCGAGGATAGATCTATACTATACTATATACCCACCCCACCAAATACAACACCCCCGATAACAATTAAATAATGGTCCAACTCTTCAACACCCTCGTCCTCACGGCCGCCGTCCTCGGCACCGCCGCCTACGCCCAAATCACCGCCGAGTGCGGCGTCGGCCTCGGAAGCTGTCCTTCCGACAAGCCCTGCTGCTCCCGTACGTTCTCCCCCACTCCTCCATGACCGTACCCCAATTCCCCCCATAAACTAACACTCAATGGCACCCCAGAATACGGCGTCTGCGGAGTCGGAGCCTACTGCCTCGGCGGGTGCGACCCCAAGCACTCGGCCACCATCGACTCGTGCGCGCCCGCACCCATGTGCAAGAACATCGACAGCACCTTCAGCAACCTGGACCGCATCGCCGACAAGACAAAGTACCTCGGCGACTCGACCAAGGCGGACTGGGTTGCGGACGGCGAGCCTACCATCTACGACAACCAGCTGCTGCTGACGATGGCGCCCGAGACTGTAGGAACAGTCCTAGCAAGTACGACGTATGTGTGGTATGGAAAGATCTCGGCGACGCTCAAGACGAGCAGGGGAAAGGGCGTGGTGTCGGCGTTTATCTTGTTGAGTGATATGAAGGACGAGATTGACTATGAGTGGATTGGTGTGGATCTGGATACGGCGCAGACAAACTTTTACTGGCAGGGGGTGCCGAATTGTGAGTATTTTCTCTTTTCCGGGGTTGTGTTTTGGTTTGCCGTGGAGGTGGAATGAGTTGCTGATATGGCGCAGACACAAATGGTGGGAACATCACTCTCTCGGAGGATACCTACAACAACTTCCACACCTACGAGATCGACTGGACCCCCGACACCGTCACCTGGTCCGTCGACGGCCAGGTCGGCCGTGTGCTCAAGAAATCCGACACCTACAATTCTACCACCAAGCAGTACAACTACCCCCAGACCCCCGCGCGCGTGCAGCTCTCTCTCTGGCCCGGTGGTCTTGCTTCCAACGCCCCCGGTACCATTGCTTGGGCCGGTGGTGAGATTGACTGGGACTCACAAGACATCAAGGACAACGGCTACTACTACGTGACCTTCAAGGAGGTCAAGATCGAGTGCTACGACCCCCCATCCGACGCGCAGAAGGACGGCAGCGGCTCCGTCTCCTACATCTACGACGACGCCGCCGGCTATGAGAGCAACGTCGTTATGACTGACAAGGGCACCGTCATGAAGAGCTTCCTCGGCACCGGCAAGAACATGACCGCCGCACTCCCGGCCTCAAAGACCAGCAGCGGGGCGTCGCCAAGCGCAACGGATGTCGAGACCATCCCCGGATTGACCGGTGCCGGTACCGGCGCGAACGGATTGAGGGGTGAGGAGGACAGCAGCACCACCACTGGGTCGGCGTCGAGCAGCAGCGAGACGGCTGCGAGTGGGTCGTCGGACTTTGTGCAGCAGCAACAGGGGTCCGGAGCGGATAGCGTTAGGATCGGTGGTGTGGTGACCCTTATCGCCGCTGTTTTCGTCGGCGCTGTTGCTTTGTAGACGGATGGCGTGTGCGTAGTAGTAGTAGGGGTGGATTATTGCGGGGGTGCCGTGTGTTTTATAACTCGCTTTTTTTTTCTATTGTCCATTTTTTTTTTATTGCCCGTCGTACGTGCGTGCTTCCTCCGGGGGTGGTTGGTGGTGTGAAGAGAGTGAGTGGCGGCGAAAGGACTGATATTAGTCCCCTTTCCCCGCCTCCTCTCCCCGCCCCGTACCCTCCCGGGACTGTAATCTTTAGTTTTTGTGCATTGTGTGTTTCTTGATGGCTGCTTTTGTATTGTATTGCACTCTTGGCCGTTGCTGTGTTTTTTTATGGGTAGAAAGAAGGACTGACGCTTATGTCATGTTGTTTATTGCTGTACGGTACCTAGCTGATAGGAAAACTTAAGAAGGATAAGAAGAGAAAGAAAGAGGGGCTGGTTACTACATGTAGCTGCTCTATTATATCATTATATCATAGCCTCGGGTTGCCATTGGCTGGAGTGTCGAGTGATGTTTCGTGAGGCGTTGATCCTGGTCTTTGTCATGGGAGTGTAGAGTGTTAGGGGTTAGTGTAGGTAGGGGTGCTTAATTTCTGTCTGCGGGGGCGGGGAGATGGACTGAAGGTAGGAGGGAGTTTGGGGGTTATCGTGCGATGAGAACTGGCGCTTGATATCGTCTGTCTGCGATGGTGCTACTGCTACTGCTACTACTGCTGCTGCTGCTGCTGCTGCTGCTGCTGCTGCTGCTGCTGCTGCTACTACTACTGCTACTATTACGGCGGCTGTCATCCAACCGCTGGGGTGGAATGATGCCCGCAACGAAGCTACACAGCCCAGCTTAGTAGTAGGTGGTGTCAACAATAGTATACAATCAACTGCCCAACTGCCCAGTCCCCCAATCCCCCCATCCCCCAGCACCCCCAATCCTCCAATCCTCCAATCCTCCAATCCTCCAATTCTATAGCCAGTCTAAGAGCAGTAACCGTTCAATCCCGAACCAATTAACTCCGAACCCCAATCCCGCACACCCGAGACCGCGATAGATAGATGGATCCCCTTTATCCACCCAACTACATGTACTAAACGAGATCAGGATGATCAGATCATGCAATATTAACATTAACGTTATCTACCCACCTACCTACTTGAACCAAGCAGTTAACTACAAGCAGCTAATTATTTGGAAATTGGAACCAAACGTCCTAGCTGACTAGGCCTGTTTGAGACAATCCCTCGGTCGCTAATATTTCAGACGAAGGGGTCCCTATTAAACTGCCTGCCACTACTGATAAAACAAGCATCGCCCCCGGGCCCTGGCCATGGATGGAAATAAGATTTCGCAGCTAGCTAGGCGGGCTCTGTCAATACCAACCTACCATTGACTCACCAGGCCTCACCCGCCGCCCGAACACACCCTACTGGCCAACAAAGCACATGGATCCACAGCCAATCACGTCCAGGAGCCTACTAGAAAAAACTACTCTGGGAAGGGGCCAACTATTATCGCCGCTGCCAAGGCGCCGGATGCGGTGCGGATCAAGCTTATTTTATTAATAATACGGCGCAGTGTGGTACAGACGCATATGGTGGCTCAGTTGGAGAAAGCACTGGCATGGTTGAGTTAGGGGTTGATCGAGAGGGGACTGAAAATAGATAGGAGAGAATTAACAGGAAGAAAGAAATAGGAAAGAGGAAATAAGGAGGGAGGGGGGAGGGGGGGTGAAAGGGTGTATAAGAAGACAGAGTACCGCCGTGATACTTTCCAGGTCCAGCGGCGCTTCTTCTTCTTCACAGCATATCACCATTATCTATTAGAATTAGCAACAGTCGTAATACCAGTCCCTCCCTTCACCCACAATGCGCTTCTCCCAGACCGCCCTCCTCGCGCTCGCCATCGGCCTCACGCACGCCACCATCTCCCTCAACAGCACCCTCGAGCTCGACGGCGAATTCTACTGGAACGCCATCATCCTCCCCAGCGCGCCGCTGAGCGCCTCCTGCACGGCCGCCTGGGCAACCCCCATCCCCTGCTCCGACTGGCTGCTCAAGTTACAAGGCGCCAGCAGCCTCAGCGAGTCCGAGGTGTTCACGCAGCCCGTGCTCTCCGAGCTCTGCACCGCCGACTGTATCGCGGGGCTCGAGTCGTGGCGCGACGATCTCCGCGATGCGTGCAGCGACGAGGACACCGCCGCGGCTAGCACAGTCGACCTGACGCGGTCGACGGCGGCGGCGACGCAGTGGGAGGGGAGTGAGCGGGGACAGTTCTTCCTAGGTAGCTTCTTGAACGAGAGTGTGTACATGGTTGAGTATTTGTACTATGCGGCGTGTCTTAAGGATCTGTTAGTATACCCTTCCCTTCCCTCTCTCCACCCTCCATCTAGAAGCATAAAACTAACAACCCCCACCCCACCAACAGACCCACAGACACATTCTGCTACCTCCTCCCCTCCACGGACCCGTTCAACTCCCCCAACGAGAACATCACAAACACCACCTCGCCCACCTCCGATGAGGCAAAGGCATACTGCAACAGCAGCTGCACCACGCAGCAAAACCTGTGGATGCTCGACATCGTCGCGCCCACCGTCGCGGAGGCCGACTTTTCGGACTTGGCCAACGCCACCATGCTCTGCCCCGGGCTGGATACTAGTAAGTATCCGTTCCTCGCGGAGATAAACGGGGGGAACACTACCTCCGGCTCGAATGGCAGCGGGAGTGGAAGTGGGAGTAGCAGCGGCAGTGGAAGTGGAAGTGCCAGTGGGAATAGCACAGAGGAGGGCGCGGCGGTGATGCTGAGGGGTGGGAGCGCGCTTGTGTGGGGTGTTGCGGCGGTGGTGGGCGCTGTGGTGGCGGGGTTTAGTGGGTTGTAGATAGATGTGTTTTTGTGTTTTGTAGATAGCTGTGTTTGTGTTTTGGGGTACGTCTTTAGAATCGAATAATGATGTGGGGAACAATATGGCCGAGTGAGAACCTGTGATTGAAGCTAAGATAAGGTTGCATTAGCCTTTAGCTAGCGTGCACTTAAAGACTGGGGGCTTATTGTATTCTCAGAGCTCCTGTAGCTGGATATCTATTCAACAAAAGCAATATTGTGCATCAAAGTGGGTTTCTTGGCAACGCCTCTTAAGATTGACATGTAAATTACACAAAGGGAGCAAGTTGAATTAATAATCAACGATCAACAAAAAAAAAAAAAAAGAGAAAAATCGAGGTACATACAAATACTATTATGTGTATACAGCGAAAGCTTGCTATAACGGTACCTTCTATAAGGGTAATCTCTCTATAACGGTAGCACTTCACGGTCCTTTTTGCCCGGATTTCAGCACAATCACCTCTTATATAAGGGTAATCTCTCTATAACGGTACCAAATTCCGGTCCCGAGCGTACCGTTATAGAAAGCTTTCGCTGTAGGTAGTTACATTATTCAGTCCCTTCATATCGGCCTGTCATTAGACCCCACCTCCCCCACATGCATACCATCTCGCAATAAAAAGTCAAAAAATTAAAAAGTGAAGAAAAAAGAAGAAAAGGGGAAAAATAGCAACCAAGTCCGTTACAAGTAAAGTTGTCCACAATAAATGCGGTAGCAAATAGATTATACCAGATATCCAAAGGTCCATTGTAATCCATATAGTTGACTAAGCATTAGTAGGTAGGCTGAAAATAACCCCAATCTGCCGACCATTGAGGTTGAATATAGTTGTAGTTGCGTAAATCCTGTGTATAATATGGTGCTGTAGTGCCACCATTCAAATCCGGTAGAGATCCAAAGCTCACAACCATCATCGGCTTGCCTTGTTGGGCAGGCCCTTCATAGAACTTCCATTGTGAGTATGGTAAAGCTTGAAACGAGAGGAGCCCCCTCTCTTCAAGCGCATGCTGTGTGGGCTGGTATTCTTTTGCTTCCGGGTTGAAGCAGTGCGTTGTTCCCACCCGCACTGGAGCCGTTATTTCCAGTGGCTGAGGAGAGGTAGAGCTAGTGACGGCGATCATTGACTCTCCAATAGTAGGGGTGCGGTTTGCAGCCTCAAGCATACTCAGATGCCTTTTAGCAGCCTTCTTCCTCTCACGCTCCTGGATCTCAGGCCATATACGCCTCTGAAACTCCTCTGGCGAAACGTAATAAGTGGTTCCATCATATTCCACGGGTCCCGCACCCACTCCGGATCCCGTCTGTACCAGCTGAGCGGGTATGGTGGGTATGGGTATAGGCAGTCCTGCCGGATCGATGATCAGCGGCGGGAATCCTGCTACTGCTTCGGCGCCATAGCCATATGGTGTAGATTTCGCTTCGTTCCAGAGCTCTCCTCCGTCGCCGAAAGGCATATACCTACACCAATCACAGACGGACGGGTGCCCGCAGGGACTGCCTTGCCTAACGTGTTTCTGTCTCAGATTAACTACCATACATCGATGCCCTGGCCCTTTGGCACGATGACAGAGATGGGTGAGATAATATATGAAGGTGTTGCAGGGCGAGATATGGTGGGAAACATCGTATTGACACATTTCTTCTCTTTAGTGTGCTCGTGCCTGTGCTTATTTGTGAGAGTATGCTGCTGTGGGTGAGGGTAGTTGCAGACAGTGAAATTTTAGCTGGGATGGGGGAGGGTGGAAGATGTAGAGGAGAAAGGGTTCTTCTTCTTTTTCTTCTTCTTCTACTGCTGTGCTGCTGATGATGCTTGTTCTTCTTTGAAGAGTACTAATAATTCGCAGTAGTTCCTGTTAGGATATAGAGTAAAATAGAGATTATGGGTGAGCTTGCTCGAAAGTCTGCAGGCAGGTACGGTATTTTTGAGGGAATTATTGATGTGTGTGTGCCCTGATGTGATGTACAAGGCAAAACAGGGCAGAGCAAGGAAGAATAGGTAGCAGCAGCTAGGTAACGTGCATTCTATGTATCCCGATCCATCTCCATAGAATCGTACACGTGAGGGAAACTGCAGGTTGTAAGCCGATTTGCTGGCAGAATTGTATTCGACGAACGCACGCAATAAATGTGGCTTTCCGTTAACTGGCTAGAAAAGAATTGTATTTATTGCGCTGTCTCCGGTCCCAGACGGGCGGAAATCCTCCCATGGATGGATGGACGGACGCTGCTACTGCTGACTGGCTGACTGACTATACTATGCCCCACGGGATCCCTATAATTTGATCTTGAGATCGATCCAAGAGCAGTGACCGGCGTGGAGAATACCACATATGGCGGCTTAAGAATTATATGATCGCCGAAGAAGAAGAATTCAGATCTCCTTGCTGGTTGGCCATATAGTCCATGCGGATGAACGAAGATGGGAAAGGTAATGCAGGAAACCTTCTTGCCTGTTTTCTATCCACCTCCCACTACTCTAGTTAGTCTAGATCTGCCGAGGAGGACGAAGTGGGGAAATGGAGGTTCATAGAGAGTATCTACTGGTTTATGTATTAGTTAACTTTCGGATGAACGCTTCTGCGTCCTATTCGTAATCTGGGCCTGATGGGATGATATGAGAATGTACTCTAGAACTTAAAAAAGAAAAAAGAGTGGCATATTTATGCATTCAACCATGGGATAGGGAAGGATATGTAGGAGGGAGAAAAGAAAAAAAAGAAAGAGCAGAGTTCCCAGATGTGTTAGAAGCCGTGGTCTTAGTCGATGAGGTTAGTCCAGGGTCTGGCCGAATCCCTGGCTTGAATACATGTAGCTCTCATCTCAATTGTTTGGCAGGTGGGTGCATATTTGAGCATGTCTTACACACGGCCAACGGCAATGTGTGTGCCCCGAGTGATAAATTGTGATAGGCGTACGCCCGAGTTAGTCAGCACTCCCAACGCTCTGACATATGCTTGTTTTGACCTCACTCCATCGTCTCCTGGCCCCCTAACATACACGCGATGCAGAAGAAAGAACAGAATAAACCAAAACGTGTGAAGAAACCGTACGACATCAAGAAGGCGGATCTTGATCTTGCTGGATATAGAAAAGAGCTAGATGATCGATCACCCGCGCATCTTTTCCAACGGGCAATAACTTCTCTGCGCGCATCTCGGCAGTTCCATCTGTATCTGTTACTTCAAGCTATCGCTGCTTTCTTCGGGTACGGACAGTTTGTGTTCTGCATAGGTTCGTCTAACTCTTATTTATATTTAGCATCTACCACTCGGGAGTAGTAGGCTTGAAGTGTATACTTGTCGCGTTGAGGAAAAGTCGAACGACTACTAAATGAACGGAAACCAGGAATCTTATGGATGTGCTATGTGAATACTGGGACCAGAAAAGACGGGGAAAAGAGCGCATATTCGGTCTTTAATAAAAACGTCGAAGCGTATGATTTCAAACTATTTCAAAAAAAAAACTTTTTACAAACGCTGATATGAGGATTTAGTATTGATGGAGCTACAAATCTGGAATATCTTGATCGGGAGATCAGAAGACAAATTTATTGAAGAGTTTTTACCTATAACAATAATATCCTATTATCTGTGAAGCACAATATGGGCACAAGTACATACAATCCACGGGAATGGGTTTTAAAGGTTCTGGCAAAATGTATTCAAGATTGAACGAACTGTGCATAGCGCGGACCGCCAGCCGTGACGTGACAGGACAGTTAAAAACCTAAATTATTACACTCGCATCAATCAGATTACGTTGTAGGCGTCTAACTGTGGCGTCCATGTTCCGGACCCTAGACCAGCTGAAAGGGCTAGCTACTCGTAGTTTTTTGACGTTTCCGGACGCGACCACTATTGCATGCCATACAAAAGATAGCCTTGGCGGGTTTTTTCTGTGTATGCAATAGCAGTTGCGTCCGGAAACGCTGTGAAATTGCGAGTAGTGTCTTGTGTCACCCTGACCTTCGGCTCCAGGCAATTGAACAAAAATCCCATAGGTCACAAACAACTAGAAACTGGAATCTGCTACAAGAAATACGGCCGTCCCGTGGAAGAGATTGATTAGAACGGGACTAGGGCTAGACACTGCCCAAGTTTGTATGCTTCATCAATTCTCAGTCTCAACTCTGAGTTTAGGATTAATTGATTTGATCTAGTTACACGTATACATATACCTTCTACGCTATAAATTAGTGACCCCGCCATGTATCAGGAAAGCGAAAATTTGACAAGTTTCAAACGACTTCAAAGTCGATCTGAGCTGCAAGGTTCAACTACAATAAGTTGAATCCGAATGGCCACCACCATCGGGTTCGTTAGCCATGACGCAGCTCAACCGGATAGAAATGTGATTCCTTCCCTTGGCAAAACGACAGAAAATTCGAGTTGGCAGTAAGCAGCCCAATAGTTGCCGTACTAATTGAATGAAGGGCTGCATATCAAAATTGGGGGCTAGGATATGAAACGAACCTGGATCACGAAATTGTTACATAGTATTGTGATGTTTTTTTGTGACACAAGTGAGAACCTCTTCAGTGTTCATGATATCATGAATGGCTTTGATAGCAAATAATTCATCAATTGTTCAAGTATCTAGACCTAGAACCCTAGGACCTAAATTGATATCGAGATATATGAAATCAGTTATTCTGAAAAACTATACGAGTTCTACGAAACAGTTATGTGAGTATAAACGGTTCGTGATAACCAATTAAACGGTCTAGTTAGGGATATTTGCCATTAGTGCGCCGCATTCCCTAGCTAATGCACGGATAGCCACGATTATCCCAACTTACCGCCATCACTGTCGACATGTCTCCGTACTCACGGACTGGAGATACCGCTGCCGCTGCCATACTGGTCATTGCAGACCTGAGAGAACTAGAGGAAGACCGAGATTATTATTGAGCTAGTAAGGAAGATCATATGTAAGTTGGCCGAACCCACCTTCCCGCAAGCCCGGATGTCAAAATTGAACGGCTGGATATGTCCGTTTGCACGGTTCTAATCCAACGAGTATGTAATGACAAATGTGACGAATAGGGAGGGGGAGGCTGAGTTACAATGCAAACTCCCGTTAGCTGGGAGGGGTTCTTTGTTCTCCAAGAAAGTACATACCAACATGCAGCACGTGCATTCCCACTTTATCGCACCCAATGGATCCACGGAAAGGGCCTCAATGTGGATAGAATACTTAGGGCTCATATTGTGTTATTCAATGCCACTCAAAGTGTGCCTGGGGATAACGTGGCGACACTCTAATCAGTTAAGTGCCTGCATGAGCTGTAAGTTGCATAATCAGTAGCAGTAACAATTATTTTCTCCCACACCAGCACCGTGCACTAATGGTTCTTTCACCCTAGTGATGATACTCTGGTAACAGGCGTTACAATAATATCATTGATATTTGTGATATTGATAACTGATGACGAAAAAGAGATCGATCTATACTGCATGACGTTATTGAACCATCTCTGGTAGGTTTGCACTATGATAGAGATCCACGATCGATACCCACGCTTCCGGTACTACAGGGGCGATTTGATCTGTGACTTAAAACACATATACTTGCCAAATGTAACCAAGCCACCTCTAAATCGACCATCTTCCAATATTTGATATTGCTTTCTTTTTAGGTGTGCTGCAACTGCCCGAAAGTCCATCTGCTTGCACCCTAATCTTTCCCTCTAGTGTGCAGGCTTGTAGTAGCATTTCATCCTACCCTAATTGTACCTGTATGTGCGTCCATAAACCACAAGACCTTTTCTCTCCACCGCCCAAGTTAAAAAAAATTCATTTCATTTTTATTTTTTATTTTTATTTTACTTAAGTTCTCTAGAGACCTTTGTCGATGGCTCATTCTAAAAAGATCTAGCCAATAGTGTAGAACAGAGTTGCCTACATAGCCTCAGCAACTATAATACTCACTCCTCCAGGTCAGTCTGTCATCTACACATCTTATCTGCTCTGATTCTGCAGTGATGTTCGTTTCCGTTCGAGAGCTGGCAAAGCAAATTGTTCTGAGTTGGCAAGAAGAGAGCAGCTGACTCTTAATAAGAAGCTTCGATTCCCCTCTTAAATAGCAAGAGGGGTAAGAGCTTGACGCTCTAGTGTATTCAAAAAAACACTCAATATCAAGATCGATATCTATATCCAGCTATTTCACTCACATCACAAATATGACTACCTCCAGCTCCTACGGCCCAATGATCAAGTACGAAATGGATACCGTCGAGGGAGCCCTCCCTACCATGCCGGACTGGGAGTTCGATGATTCAGAAGGTTCTTCCTGCGCCGTCTGCGGTTTTCGGCCCGCCCTCTCTGCCTCGCTAGGTATAGGATTGGGATCGCAATACTGTCCGCAGCATATAGTCAATAATACACACCATGATGGTGGGTTTCATAACCACCTATATAACCCCAACTCCACACAGGCTTTTCTTGAACCGCGAATACCTTATCAATACCAGACCAACCAAATACTTCAACCCTCTTCTTCAACTTCTTGCAGCCAATACGACGACTACAAGATGCCCCCACACCCAATATCTCTTGTTTCAGAGTACGGACCCAACATCACCGCTTCAAAGCCGGTCGATGTAGAAGAGGAATATATTCAACTTCCAGCGTCTTTGTGTGGACCACACCAAGTTCAAAATAATCCTTCGAAGGAGGCTTATTTCCCACCAAATAACTTCGTTTTAACATCGTCGTCGTCTTCTATTCCTAGCTTCCTTTCCATATCCTTTGACAGTCCCATTTCAACACCATATCAGTCACCCACTAAACAGGAGGAGGAATATCCCGAAACCAGTACTACGGAAGTATACGAGTCAAGCATGGTAACTGAACAGCCATCTGCTGTCGATGACTTTATGTCCCAGGACACCGAGATCGATGAAGACCCCCAAGATCTCGATTTGGGAGAGATGGAGGATAGTAGAAACCTCCAAGAGGGTAGTCAGGCCCTTCACAAGGGTACAGAATCCGAATTGAACAGCTTTAGGAAGCAATTCTTGGATGTCACACCAGTCGTCCCCATTTACAGCGACACTGATACTGATAAAACTGCGCCATACGCTGTTTTAATTCACCGCGCCCTCATGAGCTCTCCTGAAAAGAAGATGGTACTTGCAGACATATACGACTACTTCAGAGAGAAGATACCACGGTTCAAGAGAGTCAAGGGCCGTGGGTGGATGAATTCGATTCGACACAATCTATCAATGAATGGGGTAGGCACACAATTTCAATTTCTTTATGAGAGTTTATTTTTCTAATTATACAATAGGCATTTCTAAAACAGGATCGCCCACCGGATGATCCAGGGAAAGGGTACATATGGGTTCTGTCCGACGAAGCAATCAAAGGCGGCGTCAAATCGACAACGCGGTACAGAAAGAGTCCTCCAGGGAGTAAAAAGAGAATAGCAGATGAAATGTTTCCGAGGAGTGGTGCGGGGAGGCGCCGGCGTAAGTCGACAAGGAAATGGACCACCCAGACAGTAAAGAATCGCTCGGGGGATGGACAGCCACTGTGTGAAGAGGAAACGACAGTTTCACAAACACCTGTTTTTCATTATGAGAATGTAGCATCGCCTGATGGAGTCGAGGATCAAATGATGGACTATGGTCTAGCTAGTGAACAGCACTCAGACATTCACAACGCCCTCAACCACGACTACTTTGAACCCATCCCAATCAAGGATTACTCCAATTGCTATACTAGCTTCCCTCACCCTGGGATGTCAAGCAGATTGTATATTCCTGAGAGCGAGGATGATTTATGTCTCGAGGGTACTTCACATGGATTTGATGACCAATTTCGTGATCAGTATGCGCTGGTAACTGACTCTCATGTAACTGGTTGCCAGGGCACTAATTAATTGGTACTGTTTTTTTCTTTCTTTCTCTTTTTCCAGCTTTTATCTGCGCTTTGATTTCATTTTCTGTCTTTCTATCTTTGATTACCATCTTTTTCCCATTGGGAGGTTATCTTTTGACTGTTCAACACTGATTAAGACTGTTTTAGACCGACTGCTGTACCCCCTTATGATTACTTATTTACTCCCCTGGGCTTATGGTTTTGACTGTTGATATTACTATCTTTCATTGCAAGATTTTGCGTCTCTTGTCTTTTGATATGGGGCTATTTCTTTCTTCTATCTACTTGATCTAGCATGTACCTGTCAAGGCCTACTCCAAACATGACAAGATGGCTCATGGATGGTGAAAGTGAACAGTATTGAGTGTAATGTCAACTGATTCTTATTGGGCAGGAAATTATCTCTAAATAAATGTGTCCTTGAAGAAACAGTGTTTGATATAATGGATCATATGTACTCTGCTATGCGATTAACAGAAAGTATTTTAAGAGCATTTCTTCTCTTTCGGGCCTCCTATAACCTATAACTAAGTTTTTATCCTCTCCTACTATTACTTTTAATTATAGTACCTCCTATAGTACCTATTTCCAGTCGTTCTAGATCAAGCATCAAAGATGTTTTATGCACCAGGGTAACTACATGTACTAAATGGTAGTTTCGCACAAGGAAACGTTAACATTAATAAGACTGTTGATATTGAGAGACCAGATCAACCCAAAGATCATCATTCTTATGAACTCTCGCCCGGCAAACGATTCCCCTGCAGCTAATATTATAGAAGCCTTGGTGATAGTAATGAGGTCAAAGCGCCATCTGTAAAGTGCATAAAATCGTAGCCGCTGTAAACTCGAGACCGGATCTCGATCTTACACGCGTACGGGAGCCCAAGCACCTGCGTTATACGTTGACATCCAGTCTCCAGCTTTCCCGGGTATACATATCACTTTGACTGTTGCGTGTGCAGTGCGTCAATTTGCTCCCGTCAATTGCAGCTATGCTTATGAAATGAAACCGTGCTGACGGCAGGGAGGTGCGGAGAGGAAGAAATCTCTCTCTATCTCTCTCTCTCTCTCTCAACCACTCTCCAAGTAGCAACAGCGGCACGTGATTTTATTAATGTCTCAATATTCTGCCAAGGCATGTGGTATAAAAAACACCGCTCCATTGCAATTGAGATTGAGTCTGATTGACTGACATATACAGAGTAGACAAGAAATCCTGCTCATTCCTAGCTGCATTTGAATGCACACATATGTACCTACAACCAACTAGCCTTGCGGCGTCAAAAGCCCGCCGGTCGATATCCTAGCTAGCTTGGAAACTTTCCCTTAGGATAGACGTCCGATGTTTTGTCAGGCTCCTCAAAAAAAAAAAAAAAAAAAGCGAGAAAAGCGAGAAAAAAGCGAAAATGCGAAAAAGGGAAAAAAGGAAAAAGAGGGGATAGAGGGGGAGGGGAAAGAGCTGCGTGTACGTATTTATGGCTTAGCCAAAAGCCCCTATCAAATCCTGATCCAAAAGTGTGCCTGAAACTCTATGTAGAAGATGATGATGCAGCTACACGATTTGTTGCATCTGGATCAAGGTAGGGTGGAGAAGAGAGGGGAGGGGGGGATCGGAGAAGGTGCCCGTTACAAGAGCATATTATCTTGGTCTTGTGAACTGCATGGTAGGGTGTCACAAATTTATAATACGCTGGATAGCTACCGCGACTATATTACGTGCAATTGTTATTATTTGCTTGTTATTACTATTGTGGATTCAATTGAGCGGTTCAGCCTCTGGGTAACATATTAGCAATCTATATCAGACCTCGACTATACATTGTTGTCTTGTGGGGATCCCGCCGGAAACGCGAACTGCGGCGCGGCCCGCCTTGTGAGATCAGATCAGATTGAACATAGGTGCAGCGAGACCGTCACAAACAATCACTCGATTCGTTTATTGAATCTAACAAGGTTTCCTGGGACCCGGAATCTTTTAAGAGATGCGCATGTGAGATATATGTGTGCCTATTAGATTCGGGGAACATTCACCTCAATATCAATATCGATCGTCTGGAGATCTGATCTAATTACTTAATTTCCTCCGGAGATTTTCCGTGCTCTTTGGGCTTTGAGAGGGGGGAATATAGCACGTGGATCGGGAGGTTTGTATGTAGGGATAAGTTTGTCAAGAATTAGAATACTTCCCTTATAAGCTTTCGATCTCCGTATTAGGTCCGGCAGATGTGGTCATTAATTATGACAGGATACGACGTACGGTTCACTGAGACGAATCTAAGCCTTAACTGGCATCTTTGCCAATACTTAGATGCATATATCGTCTTTCAATATTTTAATTCTGCATATGTACGTGTTGGATCGGTACTCCTGACGTTTTTCTGGGGATCCTTTGAATGTTAATTGGTGACCACATTTAAAGCTATGAACACAACCCGGTTGCTTTTAATTTTAATTTTATGCGGACCTATTCGGTGGATCCATGGACTCACTCGCCCCCCACCCGTCCCCATCAAGCCCTCTCTGCATGCACGCCCCACACAACGGAGTGTCCGCGAGTTCTTCCCTATTTTATGAAAATTATCCTTTGGCTATTAATAGTGGGGCGCCGCATATTGGATACCCATGGTCCATTTTAATATATGATTTTTTTTCTCTCTTAGCCACTAGACAATATTAATCAACCCTTTAAAGTCAATGACCTCAATTTGGGGGATAAATATTGATAAATATTATTATTTAGATACTGAAAGGGAAAACGGTTCGTCTTCAGCTTATTCGTTTCGGAAACGGGATGCCTGAGTGTTGCCCCCGCAATCCTTTCTCCTCGTTCAAATTGACCAGCATCCCCGGGCTTCATATACTGAATTACATTATAAGTCTTTCTGTAGTACATATCTCAATGCCCATTGGACCGGATACCAAAGAATTAACTGGTATACGTGCATAACCGTTATATTTCTTCGGCTATAGTTACAACTCGAGGGTTGACCAGATCAAAAGAACTCACGGTAGGATCCTAGGCCGAGTAACCGCGCTTAGATACGTATTCCACCCATCACGGATATGGGAACAGAGGGTAGACAGATATAATATCTCGATGTATGGTAAGATTGGATGGATAGCTAGCTAGACACCCCCTCAGATTCTGCATCGCATCGATGTTGATCGGCAATCGATTCAATTACTCCACTCAAGAGAGGGTATAGCTAGCTCTCTTCTGTGTATACGACCTGTTAGCGTTAAGTTCGGTACAAGCTGCCCATATCGCATTTAAGCAGAGACTGTCAAGAGTTTTGTGACCCACCTTTTCTTGTGAGAGATTCCGGAAGCCTCAATTTGTCCCATGCCTAAACTGAAAGAGTACGCTGCAATACTGTAGCTGCAGTGTGGTTTTCAAACTTGAACAATGTATTTAGAAGCCTGTGCCGACCAATTGTGCTTCTAGCACAAACAATATACTCTAGAACAGAGTGCGTGTATACATCCCTCTAATTGACGTCACTTGATTTGTCTTTCAAGTGGCACGTGTTCTGTTAGTGACATGGTAATGTTTATGCTGCGCACATGTACCTTATAGCTGTTTTCATATTGTCTGCCAACTCCGGATCGCATACACATTAAGTTTCGGCCCATTTAGGCAATACTTATTACTAGTAATAGTTAGATCACATACACCTATACCTAAGAGAGTAATTACGGTTTCCTAACTCGGGAATCACCTTATGTGTGTGTAATTCAGTGCGGACAGACAATACGAAAACTGCTGTAATACACCGATGCATATATACATATATGGCGAGTGATTTCGCATGCTTTCTACCTATAATTTGACAATGTACATGTACAAAAATAATATATGTTATGTACCTACATCATACATATACAAAATATTTCTTACCATCACGCACACCTTGCTTGGGGGCGTTAAAAGTAGAATGTGTACATACATGTATTCATAAATCTTACCGTTCGTTCTGAAGTGACAGTCGACTCATGACCTACATGTATTTTCCCACGATCTAAGACAAAACATCCTTAAATGCTGCCAGACAACCGGACGAACTGGCTGAACTGAGAGTTGCCGCTACGTGTATATATATATAAAATCATGAAGAATGACTTGACGAGTGTTTCAAACCCACATCCCCCATCCTCGGCGAAATGCAGACTCACGCCCGTACGTACGCTTCTTCGATTTGAAAAGGATATTGGCTTCAGCTTGAAGATCATATGCATTAGTTGTAGGGAAAACTTGGGGAATAAAAAAGAAAGTTTGTGCTATTGATTCCTAAGTGGGTATTCAAAACTCTCAACATATGGGTCACGTTCCATCCATTGAACGCGATTTGCGAAATCCTAGTAATTAAGATCTGTACTGTATGTGTGCAATGGCCTCTGCTGCTACCTGCAGCCCTTCGCTGCTTACGCTTAAGCGCACTGTCCTGGCGCACTGTCCTGATGTCGATAAGACAGACGTTACACCAAACTAGTGGGTCTGCATATTCGCCCGAGTAATTTCGCTTGCTACAGCTTTATGTACATGTGGGAGAGTACGTATGAGTACTCTACGTACAGGCGCTGCAGAAGTTGACCCAATAGACTAAATTTACACGATAAGTAATTTTATGCGGCCAGGACATTTGGCCTAATAAGCCTATCCAGCACGAAACTACTAGTGAAAACAAGACCAATGTAATCCATCTTTATTTTGGGTTATATATTTCGATATATATCTAAGAGGACGTATCAGCTATATACGTTCATGCACGTATCTAGTAGAGTCCGGCCGTGTGTGTCCTTGTTAATGTCCAGTACTTAGGTGAGCTCTGTTTCACCACAAGTACGTGTAATTGCAATAATTGGGACAATTGGAATCGAATCTGGCTGAAGGAAATATCTATCACAAGCTTGGAATGAATTGTCTTTAACACCAACAAAAGGAATCTAGTAATGTAAGCTGTAATTGGCATTGAATACATCGTTTATTCAACTGGTTAATTAACCTCTATAAATATCTATGGCTCTGGATCTACATACAAGCCAAAAACAAATTACGCCAAATCCAATAAAAATTGCCTACGTATATAAGGCAAGGCAATGCAAGGCGAGCAGAACGCAAGGCAAGCAGAAATCTAGTTCGTGGGTATGCTTATGAAGACGACGTTGATCTATCTACTCTTGGGGATCTAGAACCTTCGCCGGCTCAAAACAACGGCCGCATTAATACTTCCGGTCTTGTACTACCAGTATGGCCATAATTATAACAACCTAACTTAGATTTTATTCCTCCATTACCAATTATAACTTCATCGTACTCTCAACCAAAATTTTACTTTTGCTTGCCGAATAATTAAAACCACAAGATACATATTCTACGGACTGTATACTACATGTAGTGATGGGTGCACGAGACAAGACGAGATCAAATTCAGGATGGCCTTGTCACCCCAATTATTAGGAAGTGCCTAGGTTTCAGGAGTCTCGAGATCATGTCTCGAGAGAGCTTGAGACTACCGTGGTTCTGACAATCTGTAATCACATATATACTGATGCAATTAATCCTACTTTAATTTCTGATATTTTCATATCACGTGATCATGGAAATATTGCGAATTGTTAGTACAAAACTATCTCCAGGAAAGAGAAAAAAAATGGTTGTGGTCTATCTCGAGACCAACACATAATGTATAATGGTCTCAAGAAATTTTTTTTAGCCATTCCAACCGGTCTTGCCGGGTCTCGTCCTGATGCCCCGAGACAAAGTTTCGGGCTTTTTGTCTCGTACCTATCACCAATTCTACTCCTAATTAATATCCCACGTTCAAATATGCAAACCCGGGCCCCAAGGCACCCCCTAGCATAATCTTCCTCACATAAATATCCCCCCCCCCTTCTCCAATCGATCATACCGATTTGCTGCTCTTGGTTATTGCCATGATCGACCCTATGGAAAGAATATCGAGTAAAAGCTCCAAATGCCCGGCCCCATAAGCCCCAAATTAGGCGTTGAATATATTACCAGAGGAAGATAAAAATATACTTAATCGACTACAATACCACCCCGCACTATATATATAACCATATAGCCTATACCCATATATAATAAGTGTCAATAAGTAACTCGTAGCATAGACTCCAAGGATAGAGCCGGAAACGTCCTGTAGTACTGACTAGACTAGTTGGAAGCGGCAGGGTACAAGCAAGCACGAGTGATATCTTATGATGAATGGAAGAGACTCAAAAAAGGATTCTTATGTTTATACGATTATATAGAGGATACGATTGTATGACAGGATAAGGGGGAAAAGTATGACGGGGTAAGGAGAAATGCCCGCGTTATATTTATACTCTCACACGCATCGATATACCAAGAAATGGTTTTCGTCCCAACCCATCAGTACTCTACTTGCGGCCTATATCCATTCACCACACCACACACCTTGCCAATTCAAGAACAGAGATTTTTCGGGCAATAATTTGAAACCTTCCCACACCATCTGCAGACCTCAGTAAGTCCGTCATCCTTCCCTTTTGCAGGGAGGAACTTCGAGCAAACGCCGCATCTAAACCTCGAGCGTGGTTTATTTTCGTCGCTCGCGATATGCATGAGATATGGCTCTTTGGCATTAGTGCGCTCCTTTCGTTCTTTTTTGGTACACTCTTTACAGATGAATCTGCACTTTATGCTCCTGTTACATTTGCAACAGTCGCTAGTAGTGGTTTTTGGGAGTTTTGGATTGCATTTCAGACAGATGCGGATTGCTCTCTTGGCTGTTTCGTGAACTTGCTCGACGTGGGTTACGGACCCTTGCTGAAATTCGGATTACTATCAACTCAAGTAGTAGCTGCACCCAGACTGTACTTACATGGAACTCAAGACGGCAGCTCACGCAGCATAGTAATAGACCATGACAGAACTTGCATTTCTCTGTCGACGTCTGGATAGCTTGCTTTTGCATGTTCTTGAGCGCAGCTTTATTGCAGGCTACAAGAGCAGAGACAGTCTTACAAGTAAGAATCAAGTTAAGAAGCTCGGCCTGCTCGAGCTGCCCTACTACCGAAACCAAAAGTGGGTACACTCCCAGGAAGCTGAAGAGGGCAGATTCGGACTGCGCCCCAATGGGATGCTTGGGGCAATACGCTTTCTCGGGCGTCATTTGCGCTGGAGAAAGCGCTGGTGGAGGTGTTATGGCGGAATTCATTTCTTGGATGGATCGATGTTGAATCATGACCTGTAAGTTTGTGATTGGGTTCAATATTTCGTTGACGGCTGGGTAACCAGTACACCAATCCTCTTCGTTGGATGGGGTACGTTGAATGAGGTACTTTGGGAAAGGACGTGGACGCGATTGGTGCCAGGGCTAGGTTTTCTATGGTAGATCGATATTTACTCAAGATTCGAATAATAAAGTACTCGGTTAAACAGTTTTGGGCGACAAGAAACTGATCTGTACGTTATACACACGTGCCCATACCGGTTAATTAATTCATGACTCAATATGATAAGACTCAACTTCAAAGCTCCTCCGCTACACTCTAAAGACCGGATGAAGAACCGAGCGGAGTACGTTCCCTTAGATTACTTGTTTCTCTATCGATAAGAATAAGCAGTGGGCTAGTCTCATGGCTGTTGATCTAACTATAGCATGCGACACAAGTAACGAGACTAGCAGTGGTCCACATGAGAATTTAGATGACATACATGTACATGTGTATATATATATATATGAAAAATAGAAGAGCCAGCCAATGCCAAAGAAAAGAAAAGAAATATATAAAAAATGACAAAATAACGAAATTTTTCACCAAGCGATTTGCTACCTCTCTTCCTTTCCCCGTTTATATTAACTTACTTCAAGACCGGTCCTTCCGTTTCCCCTTCGCCCTCTTCCCTCTCACCCTCCTCCACAGTCGCTGCTGTCTTCTTTTTATCACCAGCGAAACCTTCACCTTCAACGAGAAGAAGAGCAGGTAGTGCCCCAAGAAATGTTGCTAATGAAAGTACCCACCACGGAAGGATAAGGTAGCCAATCCTTTGGCCCAAGCTGAAAATAAGTCCTCCCACCTAGTTTTTTTCATAGTTAATTAAAAGAAAAAATAGCGTGGTGGTCATGATCAAAAGAAGATTAAACTTACAGCTGGACCAACAGCCCTTCCCATAGCAGCTAAGGTCACGGCAATTCCGTTGAGTGTTCCGAGAAGACGCAACGTTGGAGACGAGTTTGTTAATAAAATTGTGCTACAAGGGAATGCAAATATTCCCGCCATGCTCTTGACCATCAATAATGCAAATATTGCTGGCTGTTGTAACTTCTCGGGAAGAATCACAGCAAAGGGAGTGAGGAAGTAGATAACTGGGAACGCAAAGGAGCTAATTATTAGGCAGCGAAGTGCTCCTAGTCTATTCGTGATCGGGGGGAATATAAAGATCTTAAACAAACCTAAGTCAATAAAGATTCAGACTGTGTTTTGAGGTTCTAGCTCACCTGCATCACCATACCGATCACTCCGTATATCGAAAAGAAGAATCCAACTTGCGAAGAGCTCATACCAAAGCCACCAGCAAATTTGAAGGGCAGAAACCTATTTTCTGGGTCTTCAGGCGGGTAGGCCATAAGTACAGGGAGCATTTGATCAAAGGTGATTGAATGCAAAGCCAAAAGGCAGTAAACAAGCAGATTAATGGAGGACTGGAATGTGAAGGCATCACGTATAGGAGGAGCGCTTTGAGGCTTTGAGGCTTGTTGTCTTTGTGCGGCAGAAATCTCTTCATCCAATACGGACGAGCTCTCACTCTGGAGCAGAGATGTGGTTTCATCCGCGATATCTTTACGATGATGGGACCTTGACTTGAAGTACTTGATGATCTTGCCCCCGAATCTGCGACCTACATCGGGCTTATCTCTCATTGTCTCAATTGTTTCCTAGATATTTGAAGCGCGTCAATCGATATAGTTGGTGGATCCGGAAATAAGGTATCTTTCCTTACATCTAGAAAAAGAATGCCTGTTGTTAAACCGATAACGAAAAACATCGAAGCGACGATGTTTGGAAGGGCAAATGGAAACTTTTTAAAGAAGGCAGGAGGTTCTCCACTAAACCAACCGGGATGATTCGTGATAGGATCTGCTAAAAATCCGCCAAGTACAGGGCCAATTATCGACCCGGTAGTCCACTATTCATAATTATTAGTTTTAGACAAAGCATAACTCACTACGGTAGAGTGATCTCAAAATGGGCGCACTTACTATAAGAGGCATCAGGGAAAATGCACGGGGTTGTAACTAACGGTGAAACTAGTTAATAGCTAAACTTATAACCTTTTCTTTTTCTTTGGGGGCTGAATATAAAGTACCTCTTTTTCAGGAACCATTTCTGCAATCATAGTCCGTACAATACCCACCTACAATGCGTTTTGAATCATTAGAATAAAGGTCTTGGTCTTTTTCTGAATTCTGGTTCCATACATTCCCATTCACTAATCCGGAAAAACATCTTGCAGCGATGGCCATCTTTATATTCGTTGAAAACCCAAATACCATCAGCGACAAAAGTGTTCCACTTAAGCCCAACATGACCATTGGTTTTCTACCAAACTTATCGCTGGCTCTTCCCCACCATATACCAGTGAAGAACTGGCAGAAGGAAAAGCTAGCGAAAGTTATCCCCACATACTTGGCAATCTCTTCTTGTGGGACTCCAAAGTGAGCGATCATGTAGTACTACCGAATATTAGACCCACATCATCCCATCAAAGCTTGAAAGATGGATACATGTACTGACAAGATATGGAGTGACGGAGGTCATTGCTACTGGTTCAGCGAAACGGCATATTGCTAGATTCAAAAAGTGGCAATTAGCTCCTCTGCCATACTCAAAGAAACCCATCCGATTCAATACTCACCAAGTATGATCATTTGGCTGATCACCCTCGGGGAAAACTGGGCGCGTTTTCGAGTCATGACTCGTTGATTACTTGATTGTGTGACCTGGAGGCCGAGTAATTGTCACAGAGGACGTTGCTATGAAATGCCACGAACTCTCAAAGCGAGTTCTGAGGAGCTTCAAAGAAAAGCACAGGGGGATTCTATCAGTTAGTAACAGTCACTGTGGAGCTCACTCGGAGAAGAGGAGAGCTCGATTACAAGGAGGGAGGTGGTGTGCACAGAAGAAGTGAGAGAAGTCTAGGGATAATATAGTCTGCACTTGAGAATCACCTACGGGGCAAAATGCCGCTTCGGCACGGCCCACCCAGTAGAGTGACTTTTAGGTCTGAAGAGTAAGCATGCATGCGGCCCTGTACATCCTACTCTACTCTACTGATTCCCACCACGATCTACGCATCTACAAACGCCAAATAGTAAGTACATGTAGCCATAATTAAATATTAGGGACAACGATCTCAGCAATGCAATATAATAAAGGCCAGAAAACCTACAAAGACTCGCGTTTGTTTGAAAGCAATAAGTTCGAAACACTACGCTCCATCTTTTCAGGGAAAGGCTCGGATATCGGATAGATGCAGGCCCATGCGGCTCATGCATGTCGGAAGGCTTAAATCGCCGTCGGGGACATATTTCTCTACAAATACCGTGTACACACATACCACCTATGGGAACTTGAACAACGACCGGCGCCAACCAATTGGACACGGAGCACGTACCTTCGTGCACTTTCGGCGACCAGATCTGAGCCTGGAGCCAAGCCGGATAACACCCAGTGGCGCAATTACAGATGTCGTTTATGGGGTTTGCTGTTGTAACGCATGGACTGCCCTGCATTGGTAAGCAAACCCCCAATCATCAACGCCCGCGGGGTGATCACCACATGGATGTGGAGGTTGATTACATATCAGGCCTTACCTACCACTTGCAGTGCCCATTGAGATTGAGTACGCTAGATTACCAATACCGGCTACACAAGCTCATGATTCATCACACAAGCAATCTACAAGTTGTATTCTCCAAAGATGGGTCCTGATATGTCGAACGCCGCCCTGGCGAAACTGAAGAACGTTCTAATTCAACTAGACGTATATGTACCGGTACTAATCATGAAACTGGGAACAGGCTTCTCTTTGATTGCATGCACAGAGTTAAACTTTTAGAATATAAACTCTCGCTAACCTCATGCACGTGTCCAGCATTTGTGTCCCCCGACATGTCGAATCCCTCTGGCCCTGCCAAAGTGGGAGGATTCAAGCTCGGCTCATGACCAGGTAGTTACCGTTGGCTCCGTAATTGAACCCCTGACAGTGAGAGTGCTCAAAGATTCAGGGCGCAATTATAGATAACCTCGACAGATCATTTCCATCGCTAGCTACAGTGAGGAGCGTTCTCGCCTATATGGCCCGAGGATGCGTCACAGAATCTCGCTCGCACCTATTATCTCAAGCTTATAATCAATTAATTGTTCAATTATTAACACATGCCGCTATGAACCACCCATGGCCCACCCTCCTATTGCATGTGATACAAACTATAATGTATGTATCTACATAGGTACCTCGTTCCCGGCCCTATTTTTCTTGGAAAATTATTTATTGGTCAAGTCAATGGCGAACGGTAATTATTCGTCGATGTATGATAGAAGTATCAACAAGTTAAGCGGGTTGGTACGCTTTTGTTGAATTTATTAGCATCTTTATCATTGAACAGGATACATCATTGACCTGGGATAGCCGTATGTATACAGTCGTTCACCGTCTCTTGACGAATACTGCCACGGCCACTTGACGAACAGGGATTACAAGTATGGCAAGAAACAGCCAAACTGCGAGATCTCCAGTCCTTTTAATTTCTATTAGCCCAAAGTCCCCTGTTCGTCAACTGGCAGTACTCGTCAAGCGACGGTGAACGACTGTACCTTATGCTGATCCAATACATATTGTAAGTACATGTATTTAATACTATACATGTAATAACTTAAAGTTGGATAAGGGGTGTGAACGAAAATTGCACTTTGATTCTTATGTCGTGTAATATTAAGGATGATCCCCTAAGCTACCGAAGTTGTCCCAAAAATATCTTTTTGAAATGGGAGCTATGTTAAAATCGTATAAAATAACGTGAGAATATCGAATGCATCTCCAACTTTTCCCGCGAAAAGAGCCATCAGCCTTAATATTGTCCCCAGATCAGGTTCGATGAATTACCAGAAGAACCACGTTTATGATAAGAAGCGCGCTTTCCTCCACATTCGGGACCAGGGGCGTCGATGAGGTTTTGCGCGGAAGCCATGCATGTACAAGTATTACCTAGGTCTACTCTCAAAGCCAGAGATCCACTAGATGTCTGCGGGGACGGTAGTATAGTAGTATACTATCTTGGAGGCAAAAGCCTGAGACCTCCCATTTCTCCGAGCTGTAATCAGTGTGATTACCAAGTTCAGTGATCGATATATATATCTTGAGATTGCTATATCACTTAATTTAACTTCGGTTCTATGGATCTAGTTAAGGTGTTCTGAGCTGAATAACTAAATATGTGTTGAACTCCAGTTCGTGTTTTTTTTACCTTCTCCTATTGGAGTTATTGGTTGTGCGTAGCCATTCTGAAACACAATGGAGGATTTATACCTTATTTTATGAATTATGCCTACTTTGCAGTGTTTATTTGGGTACATGTTCAAAGTCTGCCAGGGTTCTCCATGTCAAAGTAGATACTTCCTAGCTTTGAATTATCATTCAACCATACCCCCATCCGAAAAAAGAATCCTTCCATAGCTACATGTAGATTCATCGGTAGTACCTCTGATAGGACTCTGAACGTAGTCAAATCAGAAAGAGATAATGGAACTCCTACTATTGAGAGGAAATAGAAAGATCATCGTGTTCATAATTCTAGAAGATGGAGAGCCCGGGCATAAGGTTACCAACCAGTGTGTTCCCCCAGTCAATTGCATCTCAAGAAATTACTATTATGTAGTTAGCGTATGAGACAACACGGCATAGGACTTCAGTCTATCGGCCGGGAGATATGTACATGTATGCTAATTGAACGGCAACTCAGATATAAGCACAAATGCAAATCACATGCCAAGAGATTTCCTAGCTTGGGTTCAACCATTCGTCCAAAACTAAGCGCGGCAACATTCCCTTGCCGGTGTTTGCCGGCAACTTTGGGTGTGGTTGTTACGCGATGATGTGCCGGGGAGTCGGTTGTGATGGTGCACGTGCGCGATGATGGGTTAGGTTGAGCATTAGAGGTTATGGTTGGACGGGCAGCAGCACTCAATTGAATTGGGGGATAGACTATGTGGTTGTCTTCAATTTCGTTGCACGTCTGATCTACATGTACTACACACGTCTCTATATATATATGTACTCTAAATCTTGATCCCACGCAGAACAGTATCTGGCGCAATACATGCATATGAGTACATATACTCTACTCACTCCATATACATGTACTTGTTCGACCAAAATTCAAAAGACAGAATTTTAAGACTTGCTCTTAGGCTACATTGTGGTGCTTGCAATATTTGTGCACCGAGACGTACCTGTATGCAGTCAGTAGCTCTGTGAAGCCTGGATTGGTAATCTCCTGGTCGAGTGATAATCAATGACGCAGATCTACCACCGTACATGTAACCACGCGATACAATACCAACTACCCGTTTATACCTACATGTATGCCCATGTAATCAATTTCAAGCAGAAACTTGCAACAGACTGTCAAGCAAAGTGATACAAAACATCTCATCCACCACAATTGCCATCACGTACCACTATCATCATCAACAGCTGCAGCACATTACTCCGTCAATCGCCATCTACGTATGAATAACCTCTAATACTCTATCATGCATTTATTCTAAACTGGACTTACTGGCAGTTCCCACAGATTGACCGCAGAAGCCAAGATGGAAGACCACGGACAAGCTGTCTGTTACAGCCTTGAATCCCTCACCTTAGGTCGGGTCTATATGGCGTCTGTATCTATCGAAACCGTTCTCACTCAATGGATTATCGACACCAAACTTCGTTCCAGTTCCAACTTGGTACCCCACTCGAAGGGGCCCAGAGATTCGCTCGTTGATTTCGAACTCCCCTTTGACAGAGGGGCTAGAGAACAACCGATAGTATGCCTCTCTGTAAACCCTAATGCTGGTACATGGGTAGGCTGTGTCTTTTACACACTGGATGAAGCTCGTAATTGCGCGGAGATAGCCAGAAAGATGGGATTGCCGGTGAAGGATTTCAGAAAACTTTTGGCACGGACCAAAGCCAGCCAAAGCATCCAATCCTCTGATGTCATGATTAACGTTCAACATGACTCGAATATCCCTTGTCCAAACCACCAAGGATTCAATGGTGAAGAAGAGAATCCGGGGTTTTATATGTTTTGTCTACCGGCCACCCTTCGATTTCCTCAAAATGGCAGCTTGAAGCTTTACCTCCCGAAGGTGGTAAGAAAGGCAGATCTTACACCAGCTTATCCGTGTCCCGGTTTCATTGTCGATCCAGCCACATTCGGGGGTGTTTGGGATTACATCCGGGGAACGAAGGAATCTTTGGAAAAGAGACTCGAGTCCAAACTTTGGAGGAAAGTTGACCGTTTCCGTGTCAAGGCGGCTGTGGATAGAGAAAAATTGGAAAGTAGTGGATATGGAGAGCCAATGGACATTGACAGTAACGAGAGAATGGGACAAGGCAGTAGCCATCAAGTGAAGAGAAAGCAGGAATATGAGGACGGAGAAGCACCAAAAAAAAGGAAAATCATTTCCAGTTGATCTGAAAAACCAAGCCTTGAATTATCTTGGTATGTATCTGTTGCAGATCAAATCAAAAACGAAGATAGCTAATTATAACTCTGATATTTATAGGTATACGCTGGGTCTTAAACGGGATGATGAACTATCCCAAATTTCACATACTTTATTTTAAAAGATTGTCTTTTAGCTAAGCTTACGTGGAGGCTTATGGAAACACCAGGGCTCTATTAGTAATGGATATGCGGCAATGGATAACTTGTGAGATTCATACCAATTGTTTGAATGGGCACAGCGTCATAGTCAGGTATTTCATAGTTCAGTACTAGACATCTACGGTCTCACATTAATCAAGCGCTTCACTTTTATACAGCCCAAAGCCCATTTGTGTTTGGAAACTCGGTATAATCAAAATGATAGGATTTCACCTATTTTATATACAAATACATGTACTTGTAGGTTAAATTGAGGTCATTGCACTGCCGCATGCAGGACTGCCGGTACAGTGACCTAAGTTGGAACTTGTTTCAGATACATGTAGGATACATGTAGTATCTGGAATTATTAAATCACCCTAATTTGCAGTTTATATACATGTACCTACATGTACTAGCATTAATATACAAATGGACTCTAGCTCTCCAGGAGAAAGGGGAATCACATGTAACAATTTGTAACCACATCTGCAATGTTTATAATTTAAGGAATTACGACCGCAATTACGACTAATATGAATTGCGCTCAGAAGTAAAAAAAAAAACCGATCCCAAATATCATCAACGTGGCTAGTGCCCTGAAGTTTACTTCAGCTGGGTTAAGCAAAGAAATGTGAGAAAGGCCAAAATGCTGAGTCATCAATTGTGCTCTGAGGTCTTAATGCTGAGCCAATTGCCAAAGCATAGATCTATAGGTGGAGGTGGACAATGAGAAAGACGACATGATGTATGTAGATGTAGTTATCCTGTTCGATATCGAGAAAATAATCAACGACCACCAACAGATTGTTGCAACTCTGGCCATGGGGACGAAAATACATGTACATATGTACATACTTCGAAGTGGGTAGTAAAAGCAGTTCATATATACTTATGTAAGTATGTATTAAAGACTACTACAAGTGCGAGAAAGGAGGGTCGAAAGCCGCGCAGTGGCTTGAGAGCCCGACTTCGAGCCCTTGTAGAGTAAGAGTACTCAATTAGATACTAAAGCTTCAGGGCGTTGCTAAGCGTAACGCAGCTCTAGTATATATACATGTATGTAGATGTACCTTCATGTGAATTATATAATTGTCGTCAACGAGAAATCATTAGGGTTTTGTTGATGCATGTTCGTTGGCACAGCAACGAACATTTGTCACGCGAGAAATTGCACGCGTCGTCCTTTGAACCTCCTAACCATTGAATTGGAAAGAAAAAGCAATAACAATGTCAATCCTTCTCCAAAGGTGACAACTATCTTCCGACTTATCGACATTTATACTACCGTTTAGGCGTAGCAGAATCGTCACAATGTCGGTGAAAACATCTATACCCATAAAGCAGGTTATAAACCTCGTCTCCTCTTCGCCACCCCACCGAAAGCCATCTTCAAGCAATGATTTGATGTCATCTCCTCTGCCTTCGCCGAGCTCAATGTTGAAACAATTCAGCATGATAGGAGCTTCGTCAAAGGCGGGAATTGCTCAACCTCCGAATAAAGGAAGGACTGAGGGTGAGGAGCCTTCGGTTTGGGATGTACCCAATGATGCGGTGGAAGACCAGGGAGAGGCTTCGCCACCGACGTTTCCTCCGGCGAGGAAGAAACGGGCGGTCAAAGTTACAGCAAATCCACCGGCATCGAAAAAACCGCGGGCCCCCCGCAAGACTGGGGATAATTCCAAAGTCGAGAGGAAGAAAAGGCCGTTGAAAGATGGGAAGTTGAAGGCAAGGGTCATCAAGAGTGCGACAGGACCCTCAAAGTCAAAGTACTTTGCAGAGCAACAGGAGGGAGGGCTTAGTGTATCTGGACCGTGTGTAAATGATTCGAATCCTCTTCTGGACAATCCAGCTCTACAGGATGTTTATAGTAAGCAAAGTACACCTACACAAGAATCGCCCAGCCAACAATCAGCTCTTGATCCTTCCGTACCTGTAATACGAAGGCAATGGACGCCCGTTAAGAATACGACTCTGAGCGTGGATAGTCCATCCCCGTCGATGGGTGGTGAGGCCAGGAAGTCCAAAAGGTCTGCTTTCGATGATATGGTAGGAGTTATGAGATATACGACAAATTCACGCCAAAGCTCTCAAGAAGCTCTAGTTGGTAAGGAAGATGTCATCTTCGCTAACGGTCTAAGGAATAAGAGGCCATTGGAGGTGAGAGAAACCGAGAACGAGTTTATCTATCTGATATTGGAGCCTTTGCTCAAGTAGAGCGAGTTCCGGTTTTCGGTAACCTGGTTGGTGCCAATCCTCTTATCGTCCTACCAAGTTTCAGAAAACCGGAGCTAGTTCTGTTTGCGCGAGGATTCCACTTTGTCCTTTGAACTTATGCTAATATAACGCTCTACAGATAATTGGTCTCCCAAGTACCGCTATGATAGTTAAGGAGAAACCAATCAAGTTACCAAAACAAAAACAGCCAAAGAAGAAAGCGAAAACAATTACCGAACAAGCTACAGCTCCGTTTCGTGAACCCGTAGATTCTCCGATACTAGCTTACTTCGAAATAAATGAAAGTGAAGAGACGGACCCGAAAAAGATCTCACGGAAGCGTGGATCTCCAGCGATGAAGAAAAGAAAACCAAGCCCAGAAGTAATTGTCCTTCTAAGCCCAACGAGTGCCAGAGAAAGATTCGATTCTCAGGAGTTCGTATTTGGGACTTCCTCGCAATTGGAGAAGGTGGGTGATAACGAGGGAACTCACGATAACCAACTTCAAATCGGACTTGATGATCAAGACAATGATTATAATCTCCCTCCACCCTCCACGTCAGTTCCTCGAAGAGGTTTTCTAAAATCCCTTGCAAAAGAAAGGAAAGGTGGGAGTACATTCAGAGGAAATAACGCAGGAAGTAACAATACCGGATATGATGAAAGCGGGGTGAAGATGACAACCAATAGTGTGCGAGAGCAACCCCATCAAAATGCACTTGAGGGAAGGAGTCAGTTGGGTAAAATGCGTCAAACAGCCAGTGGGTTGTGGGATGCTGCAGCAAGGGATCATGATGGCGAGCTGATGTCTGCGGAGGTTGTCGACATGACTGGTATCGATAATAGTCGCCCAGAATCGGAAAGCGGTGGGTGGAACGAAGTACGCACAGTTCGCGAGCTGCCAGGAGATGAAAATGTGACCACGGGGTCGAACCCCACTGGAAGACCGGTGTCCCAGAGCGACCCCCTAGATTCGTGTCATGGTCCTCACCGCGAGCCCTTGCTTATTCAACATGAGAGCAGTGGAATTCAGATGATAGAGAGCCCGATGGAAACCCCGCACATAGCAATCTCGAGTTCCCGAGGTATTACTGCATCTCTTGAAAGGTCAATCAAATCAGCCAGGGGTATGACCCCAACTGCCTCAGTTGGAACCAAGACGGAAAGATCTACTGGTAGTGAAGAAATGAAGCTTTTGCCTCCCATGCCTGATTTTCAGTCACATTCAACGGCTAGGCTTAAATTAGATGTAGCTAAGTATGGCTACAAGGATATGAAGACGCGAGGCAAAATGGTTTCATGCCTGGAAACCTGCTGGGAGGCAAAGAACAAGGCCGCGACAGCACAACTTATGCCACAGCAGCTCGAGGCCAACGCAACACTAGTTCAAAATACCACTGAACTTCCTGAAAAGGGTCTTAGTGGGGAAGAAGCAGCACTGGTCTTGCAGGATGCAGTATCAACTGAGGTCGTAGCCAAGGGAAAGAGGCATACCAGAAAGCCCAAGCGCAAAACTGCGTCTAAAAGCAAAAAACCTTCAAAGATTTCGTCACATGATAGCGGAGAACCAGTCTCTGTCAATCCCTTGGCAAGCGATGTTCATCGTCTTATTTCTGAAGCGGTTCGGGAGTCTGGAAAATTGCATTCCGAATTTTCGTTTTATCATGCAATATTGATGTATGATCCCATAATTCTGGAGGATATGACATCATGGTTAAAGGGGAAAGAGGAGTTCAAAGGGTTGGGTGTTGATGAGAAAGTGGTGAAGGTTTGGTGCGAGGCCAAAGGGATTTGTTGTGTAAGGAGCGAAACTAAAGCCGGCAAGGAGAGAACTAGAAGATAACTTTGGGTATTCTTCGGGATAAATGGGGAAATTATCATTGGGATTTCTTGATTTCACTGTAAGAACATGGGGAAATGCTACTTTAAACCCCCGTATCCATTTACATGTATTACGATAATTGAAGACAAGAATAAAGAGTTTAATCTTTATATTGGTGATTTGACAATAATAATTACATTACAGCTGTTTGCATAATATTAGGCCCAGGCGAGCGTCGTACAGCGAGAGGTAGAATTATTGTAGAAACAGGAGTCTAAAAACAGGGTTTCTATGGCTGGGCAAGCCAATAGAACTCCTCCCATACTTCTACAATAATCTTACCGCAAGCTGTAACACATAGTGCGAATCTTCAGGCTATTACCTCTAGGTAATTCCCATAGCTTCATTAGGCAATCCTGCCGAAAGTTTAAATTAAGATACCTCAACGGGTATCTCGAGTTGCGTAATGGAGCAGCCTTGCTTAACTTTGCAAGAGTCGTTCTATGTGATATGTTGTTCAGCTGGGCCTAATATTATGAAAACAGCTGTAAAGCTTGTACACCGGCGCCCTAGGCATATCATTAAGACATTATCCTTCTATCATAAACACGATACTATTAAGACGCCGCTGCTTCTTCGGGCCATACATACATACCCAAGAAAAAAGAATTTAGAAATGTCCTTTTGACCTGGTAATAGGGATCTATGATCCGTGCCAATCCACTATGTGTTACTGCAGGTTAGCCAATGCCATACCCTTGGTTAAATGCTCTTTACGCAGATGGCTA